ATCTTTGTTCACTAGTAATGCTGATACAGTTATCTTGTTCAAAAAGATGACTTACAAAAGTTAACAAATTCACACAAAATTTTTTTGTGTGTTTGTGTTTTTTTTTATAGTGAAGAAATCAGTGAAGGAAAATGTGAGCAGGAAAACTTAGATGAAGCCATGGATGAAGGTGATAAACAAAATACATGTCATTAAGATACTATATAGTTGGTAAGGGCAGGCCACAAATTTGGCTCTGAGCAGTCTAGAAGCCAGGGAAAAAAAGGAGAACCATGAGCAATTCCACGATTCATAGTGTCCATATAATTTTTCATGGAACTGAAACCTAAAATAATTTCTCCACGAGTCCTTCAACACTGGTATTCATAGACATCCTTTTGGAAATAAATATCTTTAATGCTACTTATCACATTGTACCTCCTACCTATAACATGTATCCTAAGTAACAGATAATATATCTGTATTATTTGCTTAAAAAGAAATAAAATATCTGTATTCAATATACTGTTTGTGCACAAAGCATTGGGGTCAGGGGTGTCTTATATGTTAGATATCAACACCACCACCCCACAGTCACAGTTTAAAGGCTTCACAATAAGAGATGTGCCCTGGAATTTTCTTACACTGAAAATTCACAGCTGAAGCCTTTCTAACAGCATCATGCATGTATTCAAACCATAAAGTATGTTTGGGTAACATATGATGATAGATTTGATGTGATAAATTTCCCTGAATCTTTTGGGTTAAAAACAGTCACAGTAGTATTAGGTAATATCTGGGCTCTTCAGTAGCAGCAGCCATAGAATTTTAGAAGCACCTACTATGTGCCAGGTATTATTCTATATACTTTACACAGATGGCCCCAATCCTCAAAATAATTTAAGGATATTAGTATTAACTATATTTTACAGCTGAGGGAAAATGAAGATCATTAAGTAGCAAATATCTTTATTTTTAATTTTAGATAATGAATTTTCAAACATACACAAAGTTGAGAGTATATTATAAAAGACTCCAACATATCTCAAAACCAAGATTTAACAATTAAAGGTTTTTCCAGATTTCCTCTTTTTCTTATTTCTCTTTTTTCCTTTGATGAAGTATTTTAAAGCAAACTCTAGTCCTACACCACCTACACCATCAGTACACATTTCTTAAAAAATAAGGACAGATTCTCATGTAATCACAAAGCTAAAATCAAATCCCCCCAAATTTCAACAATTTCTTGGAATCATCTCAGTCACTAATCAGATATACCCAACTTTCTCAGAAAGTCTTTTTATAATTAGTTTTTTCAAACTGAGGTCCAAAGAAGATCCACATAAACATGTCATTGTTTCTCTGAAGTTCTCCTCCCCTCTCTTTTTCCTATCCCTGATTGCTGCAGGAGCAAATATCTTGTTTTTCAATCAAGATACAATTCACATACCATAAAATTCATACTTTTAAGTGTCCAATTTTAGAATATTCATAAGGCTATGCAATTCTCATTTCCATCACCCCCAAAAGAAACCCCTACTCCCCTCGACAGTTCTCTCATGCCCCCTTCCCAGTCCTTGGCAACTACTAATCTACTTTCTGTCTCTATGAATTTTCCTATTCTGGACATTTCATGTAAATCAAACATCTTGAGTGTTCATCAGGTTAGATACCATAAACAGATCTAGGTAGGTACCAAAAACATATATTAATATATAACATGGTACATACATATAACAGATAAACCTTCAGTCAGTAAACATCATTACATTATCATTGCCATATGAATGGTACATCATAAATGTTTTCAGTTCATGGTTGGTTTGTTTTGGTTTTTTTTTTTTTTTTTTTTTTTTTGAGTGAGTGCCGTGGCGTCAGCCTAGCTCACAGCAACCTCAAACTCCTGGGCTCAAGCGATCCTCCTGCCTCAGCCTCCCGAGTAGCTGGGACTACAGGCATGCGCCACCATGCCCGGCTAATTTTTTATATATATATCAGTTGGCCAATTAATTTCTTTCTATTTATAGTAGAGACGGGGTCTCGCTCTTGCTCAGGCTGGTTTTGAACTCCTGACCTTGAGCAATCCGCCCGCCTCGGCCTCCCAAGAGCTAGGATTACAGGCGTGAGCCACAGCGCCCGGCCTGTTTTGGTTTTTTGAGACAGGGTCTTGCTCTGTCTCTTAGGTTAGAGTACAGTGGCATCATCGTAGCTCACTGTGACCTCAAACTCCTGGGCTCGAGTGATCCTCCTGCCTTAGCCTCCCAAGTAGCTGGGACTACAAGCTGCTTCACCATGCCCAGCTAATTTTTTTTCTATTTTTTGTAGAGATGAGTCTGGCGATATTGCTCAAGCTGGTCTTGAACTCCTGGGTTCGAGCAATCCTCCCACCGCAGCCTCCCAAAGTGCAAGGATCACGAGCGTGAGCCACCGCACCCAGCCCCAGTTCATGGTTTTTATATTTGGCCTCACAAACATATAGGCCAATGATATTCATGTGTATGACACATCTATGGGTTCCCCATATGCAACAAAAGTTTACTTCTCTGCTGGCCACAATTCTCACAATGACTAATAGTTAACAATGCGGGTTCATCACAGTGGTTAATGTAAGCAGGTTAAGCTCTGTGCCTAAGCTACAACTCCCAGCTTTCTCTCCTTCTCAGGAAAGCATGTTAGAATGTCAGAATGCAAACAGAGACAAATTTTATTTTTATTTTTACTATATCAATCAGATACTCTGGAACCTTATGAGAAAGGTAACAGAGAGTGGTGGTAATGAGATACCAAAGCTGCATATTCTACAGAATAAGAGCGCCCCTGTCACTCTACTACTTAACAGCTATATGATTTATGGCCAATGATTTAATCTCCAAGTCTCAGTCTTGCCCTTATGTCAAATAGAGATACTAACAAGTATGATTGCTTTAAAGATTAAATGGGCCTGGTGCGGTGGCTCACGCCTATAATCCTAGCACTCTGGGAGGCTGTGGCAGGAGGACTGCTTGAGGTCAGGAGTTATCAGCCTGAGCAAGAGTGAGACCCCATCTCTACTAAAAATAGAAAAAATTAGCTGGGTATGGTGGCAAGCGCCTGTAGTCCCAGCTAATCAGAAGCATCACTTGAGCCAAGGAGTTTGAGGTTGCTGTGAGGTAGGCTGATGCCACGGCACTCTAACCTAGGAGACAGAGCAAGACCTTGTCTCTAACCCAGGTGACAGAGTGAGACTCTGTCTCAAAAATAAATAAATAAATAAAGATTAAATACAAAGATAATTAAGATAATCTGCTTACTAAATGCTGGCTATTGGCAATAAAACTACTCTATTGTCAATAAATCACCCATGACACCTCAGAATTGGCGGAGCCACTTCAACATGGAGAAAGCACATACAGATGTGACCAGCAGAAAGGAACAGAAGTAGCAGGAGCATGGTTGCCAGTGAATCCTGCCCGTCTAGGGGAGGGGAGGAGGAAAGCAAAGGGGAAAGAAAGGGGTGAGAGGGAAGGCAAGGAAGGGGAAGAAGGGAAGGAAAGAGAAGAAAGGGCAGGAAGAAGTGTGAGCCCTCATAGTGCTAACAAACGACTCCCCCCACAGGGGCCAGCCTACTTTTGCACTTGGCCTCTGTTCTCTTCTCTCATAACCTGTCACACTTCCAAATTTTTCCCCTCCCTCATTTGTATGATTACCTTTCCCTTATGTTAATTATCCCCATTATCTTTTTTTCATTGTCATTATATAAAATCATTTTCCCCTGCAATACTAGGCTTAGATAACACTCATTAAGTCTCAAAGGAGATAAGGGTGAGCAAATTCTTTTTTCTTTTGCATCACAGTCACATACACAGTAAGCTTTCTCTTTGGTTTCTACTGACTCTTAGTGTTCATGCATAGCATGGAAAAAAGACAGTGAATTCACCATGATTCCGTTACTGCTTTAGTTTAGGAACTAAAATAAAACAACGTATGAGGGCTCCAGAAGCTTTATGTGAACAAAGTGCCAACTACTTCTTAGGGAACATGAGCCTTCTTCTACCTATAGGGGACAGAAAAATCCCTCTGCTCCGCACACATTTGTCCCCACAGCAGAGACCGAAGGAAGCTATGTTAGAAGGAATTACATTCCTCAGAAATTTTCAGGGCGGCAGCAGGTTGTGAGCTCACAACCACCACAAGGCTCATGACACAAAATAAAAGCGCTAATATATAGAGATTTGCTCCCTGCTTTAGAGAGCAATCCTCCCACGGATTATAACTAGCCTATGGTTAGCCAGCCCTGCAACAAAGTATCAAAAATTACTACCAATGGAATACCAAGGCGTTCAAAAGAATGAGGTAGAGACATATATATACTGGCATATGTATCAAGATGCAGAAGAGTGTGTGCATGTATGTATAATCACATTTTCTGTTGTTTAAAAACAGAAAAAGGAGAAAAAAGCTGGACAGAGATACTTCAACATCTCACCAGTGGACCACTAAGGTATAGGATTTGGAGGGTGGAGAGAAAGAAAATGAAAAATTCCACTTTTTATATTATATCCCTCTGAAGAGTCTGAATTTGTTATGAATTAATGATAAAATAAGAACACCTGGAGAATTGCTAAAATCTGAAATAATCTTATCAGCCTAAAGCAACATTTTTTATAAACAATTCACTTTCTTGTGTGAATATACATAAATTTACATGAATAGGAAAGCCAATTAGAGAACCTGCATGATTCGAGCAACATAAACTGCTACATAAGGTAAACAGAGAAACAGACCACCTAAATTTAGTTTGCTCTCTGATCATACTTTCCAGAGCATCTAATTGCAAAATGTTTGAAAACAAAGGAGAACTAAAATAATGAAATAATCAAAGAAGTCATTTTCTAGCCTTCCCTTTGGTGATAAGAAATAGGAAGGCAAAGAGTGACACACAGAAATCCACGCATCTCCTGGTTGAAAAGTCCAACATATTTAGGGGAGAAATCTGGTTCTCCTTTCATTACTTCCTTGATAAAAGCATCACTGTTTCTTACCTGATCACAAATCAGTTCCCATTTTTTCTCATTGTCATACTGCCGCAGTAACCTGGCTTTGTCAGGAGGCAGGTTCATGGCATTCTGTTTAAAAAAAGAGAGAGAGGAAAATGATTTGTTACATTCCACAACAGGCTGCAAATGGGTAACTCGCAGGCAGACCAAAGAATACTACTGGGGCTCTTTCATAACTTTCTTTCACTTCATAGTGTCTCATGTATAGGAAGTCATTTAAACATCCAATTGCTTAAATGGGAGGAGGGACCCTCTGAAGTTCTATGTTGGGATGCGTGAGATAGATGGTCTGCTTTGAACAATCAGACTTGCATCTCAGCAAAGGTGATGCCTTGATTCTTCATTTAACAGCAGCCTCCCTTTCTACTCAATGGAAACGCCAGGAGGGGTTGGTTGTTCAAAGTACCGGCCCGATTTCTTTTTAAAGCACAGTAGTCCCACTGGACGCAAAATAAAACTCAATGACCAAAACCACTGATAAATTCAATCTTGACTTGTTTTGAGAAACAACCACTGAGTATAAGAAAAACTTCTTTTTAAACAAAAACATGACAACGATGTAACTGTTTTTTGTCCCTTCTGTGAGTCTTCCTTCAGGACATATGTTATTAACATTCATAACCCAAGTCCCAGTTTAGCTACACTGATTTATGAAGCTGAGTTTGCAGTGAGAAATGGACCATGAGCTGCACTGTCCAGACATCAGTTCATGTAACCACCACCACCCACCCCAGCCCCGTTAACTCTGCACACCCTATGCAGTGTCAGCCGGGGATTTTTGCCTGGCTACATGCACGTGTTATGAGTGTAATGTCCCAAATGACCAACCATGCACATGTTCAAGATCCTTGATTTGGGTCTGAGGTGAGATCTTTAGCAACAGAACATGGCAGACTGAAAGGGCCCCAGAAGGAACTCAGCTCTGTTCCTTTGGCCTTCCCAACATTCCCATGCTCCACACAAATGAGCTAAAGAAGTCAATTAATGTACCGTGTTTATTAATCACCCTGTCTATTAATCCTCTGGCATCAACACTCTAAATCACACCTATCCCTAAACAAACAATGCAGCTCCTTGTCTAGGCCGATATTTGAGTAGACAAATACCAACATCTTAAACTTTTAATGTTCGAGCCCCCAGCTCTCTGAAGGACTTGGCTTAGAGAGAAACAATTCCCCTTGCAGTGGTTACGTCTCATGTCATAGGGTGAAACAATTTTATTTTATTTTTTTCACAGTTTGGGAAACAATTTATTAGACGACTGATTCAAGGCACTCAGGCCCTACATTTCTTATTGAAAGGCAACATTACTGTTGGAAGGGATGACAGCAACAAATGTAGCTGAGATAGGGAACTGGTAGGCATCGGTTAAGTGACTCAGGATGTCTCTGACCACCTGATCAAAGTAGGATGGGGATAGGACAGGTTCCCACTGGTTAGAACCAAGAAGACAGAGGAGTTGACTGCTTCTTCACCTTGCAGCTTCATTATACCCTCATTACCATGAAATCTTTTTTTTTTTTAATTTCAGGATATTATGGTTTGGTTTTATTTGGCTATATACACAAATACACAAAGGAGAATCACGTGTGTATTTTTCTGAGGAAGTCTAATGTTATTGACTGTCAAATAGCCAGTCCATTTGGTTACCAAACCAAATGTTTTAGTTACATGTTACTAACATGTTAGTTACATTTAGCCACATACAAACCATGATGTGAGGCGTGCCCTTTCCCCACTACAATGCTCACCGCATCCCTTAGTTGTGAGTTTACCCATCTCCAACCCCCAAAGAATATTATTACTATGGGAGCATCTTAGTGCTGATCAGTCACAGTGCCAGTTTGATGGCGAGTACATGCAGTGCCTATTCCTCCATTCTTGTGACACCTCACTTCGGAGGATGGGCTCAAGCTCTATCCAGGAAAATATAAAAGGTGCTAGATCACCGTCGTTTTTTATAATTGAGTAGAATTCCATTGTATACGTATACCATATTTTATTAATCCACTCATGGACTGACGGGCATTTGGGTTGTTTCTACATCCTTGCTGTAGTGAATTGTGCTGCCATAAACATTCGGTTGCAGATGTCTTTATTATAGAATGTCTTTTGCTCCTTTGGGCAGATACCTAATAGTGCTATTGCTGGAGCCTGATTAAGTGGCAGAGAGTCAGTCTTTGGTGATTTTGATAGATTTAACCCAAGCATTTTCCCCTAAACTCAATCTAACATCCAGATTGGTATGACTTAAGGGTATCTACCACCTATTGAGTCTAACTCATCAGATTATAAAACTTAACCTGTCTTCAGAATATTTAATTTTTTTTAATTACCTTCAAAGCTGACAATTTGAAGAGCATTAGACTCCACAGTTTTCGATGGTATTGCCAAGGCTTCTTAGATATAGAAATATCTAAAATGGGAAAATGTATTCATATGGCCTATCTCTATGAAATATCTACTTGAACCAGAATGGAAAATATCTGCCTGTAATTATTAGTCATTACAACTTAACAATGTTAACCAATAACCCCTGGGATAAGACAAAGGAGAATCACATGTGTATTTTTCTGAGGATGTCTAATGTTATTCACTGTCAAATAGCCAGTCCATCATTGCTTATTTGCACTCTAGAGATGGAGTTTTGTTTTCTCTTAAACTGGTCTAACCCTCAAGTTAGTGCCCCTGGGTATGATTATGCATTAAGTGAGAACAATAAGATCACGAGATTAGTTAAATGAGTTTTTCTTTCCCCTGAGTCCTCATTAATCTATTGATATATAAAGGAAATAAGAAAAAGAATGCCTGAACTCCTACAAGGTGCCAAACTCTGTATTAGACCGTTTGCATACGTAATTTAATCTTCATAATAAGCATATGCGATAGATATCATTTTCCCCATTTAATATATGGGTTAACACACCTGAGAGAACTGGGTCAACTTGCTTACGGTTCCACAGCTTTACAGGAACAAAAACAGAACCTCAACTTAGTCTGTTAGATTTGCAAGGACAAACTGTGACTGTGCCACCAAGCTTTTTTTTTGCAGAAAGCAAAATGGCAAATAACTTACGAGCTTCTACGAGTACTCTACTAGACACTGCTGCGGAAGCACTCTGCAACACACTGTTACAGGAATTAGATGCCAGCCCTCCCGTTACTGCAAAGAGAAAGGCAAGATGCTCCTTCCAGATCAACTTATTTTGATGACGGTCTTTCATTCAACAAACGTTTATGAATTACTGCCCGTGTACCAGCACCGTGCAACATGCTATGTGGTATGGTGGGAAACCAAACAGACATGGTCCCCATGGAGCATTATATTATAGTGGGGAGACACAGAAGAAACAAACAATGCTTTTAAACCTCTGGCAAGTCTTGAGAGAGGTTATCAGAGGGTAGATTTCCTATACACGGTCTGGTAACACCTCTCAGGAAAAAGTAACAATATGAATCCTAAAAAAATGAGAAGGAGTCAGCCAGGTAAAGGGCAGATGAGAGCACAGTAGGCAGAGGAAACAAGAGGACTCCAAGGCAGGAAAGAGCTCTGTACATTCAAAGAGCTGAAGGAAAACCAGCATGGCCAGAGAGAAAGTGAGAGAGAGAGAGAGTGAGGGAAAGATGAAGTTGGAAAGGTGAGTCAAAGCCGTATCATGTCCAGGCCAGCATCAATATAGTTTATCAAAAGTGCCATGTGAAGCCCTCGAAGGCTTTTAAGCAGGAAAATAACATAATCAAGTTGTTTTACACTGCAGGTGCTATGTGGAGAACTGATTAGAAATAGCATAAGTGAAAGGTGAGAAAGCAGGAAGGAGGCCAGGGCAGTAGTTCAAGCGAATGATGGCAGCTTGGATAAGAGCGACAGCCCATCACTGGAGAAAAAAATGCATAGACGTCAGAAACATCAAGTGAAACTGATTAAACTTCAGGGCAAAAATTAGTACCCTATTTCTGGCTTGAGTCACTAGGTGAATGGTGGTACACTTCATACACAGAGCAAAAGGCAGCATGAATCTGGAGGTGGTGGTGAAGAATAAGGTTTCTAAGTGACCCTGTGTAGGTCTGAGATAGCTATGAGACAAGAGAACAGTCAGGCAAGTATATAGATACATGGTTCTGGGGTCAGAAGAAAGGTCTGCATTTTCTGAACAAGAAGAGTCTTAAGTTTTTTTGAGCCTAATGACTAGTTGCTGTCAGGAGAAGTAGCTCAACATCAATACACCAAAAATAAAACTGCACTTGGTAATCATTCACCAAGCATCTAAAATAACCCCTTCCACGGGTCAAGACTCTGTGCTGCTCAGGCATACATTGCTCAGCCTAATAATTCTACAGCGACCACGAGGAAGCAGCTCTATGTAAAATTACACACTCCACAGAGGCCTGGCTAAAGTTCAGGGATGTTATGATTAGCTGCTAATAACTGCTTTTAAACTACTATTTAGAATGAACTCATTCTTCTTATGCTATACACGGCAGGACTCTGGAGTCCAAGCTAAATGTTTGTGCAGGTAATTCATAGAAGTTCAAGTTCTTTTCTGAGAAAAATATTGGTTCTATCTCCAGTCCCACTGCTGCCTTTATAAAAATGGATTGCCCTCTCCTAGTTAGCTGAAAATATAAATCAACTTCCAAGTTTTCCTAACACAGTGACAACTCTACTGTACCCATGATTAGTAATGTCTGTGACATAGATCTGTGGCATGGCTCTCCTTTCTTTCATGCATCGATCCATCCAACATTTAATGGGCTTTGACCATATACCACAATGCCCACACTGTAGGCATCTGAGAGAATTTAATCACGAAGTTGCTGCCTGCAAATACCTGCCAAGGGTCCACTGAAGACATACGATATTTGAGTCGAAAAGTTCACTGGATGTTAATTACCTATTTTCTAGATTGTACAAGTTTCTAAGAGTATTCTTTCTGTAAAGAATGTTCCTTTCCTTCCACTCCAAGAATCAACCCAAATATCATTTATCATTAGAACCTTCCCCCAACTACTCCAGGAAGACATACATACCTTCTCATTGAGTTCTGAGAGCACTGTGTACACATCTCTAT